CCGATCATCTTCATGATGTCCATCCGGTTTGCCTCTAAATGCCATATCTTTCTAACTGTGCTCCTTCCCAAAAGCTCCCAACATACAACCTATATACTTATTATGGACACAGTATGCTTACATTATTAGCTATCTTTGTTATTATTTGTTGTTATTTGTTATTAGTCCCATCCTTCAACTCTATTCAATACCTCCCATCTATCTCTTAACACCATCCATATAGGATTTCTATTTGCCATATATATTTCAACCATACTGTGATGTTTTACAAAAGTTCTGAACCTTTCTATTCTTGACTTGGGTTAGTGAGAGATGCTTCCACGTGCTCAAGCCCCATGCAGGCGACACACAAAGAGTGTGTATCCTTGCCGGAAATAGTAGCCTCGCATGGACACATGTGTGCCGGTGCTGGGGCAGAAGCAGGAGTCCTGCTCATGGTAACAGGCTCCATGGCTACGAGATTAGCTTTTGCCATAGTTCACGTGCAAAGCATAAGCTAGCTAGCGTTCACATAGTGAGCTAATAGCCTAGCTAGTTAGCACAATGCTGGCCGGAGAAAGCTCATACTTTCTTTGTTTCTCGATGAACAAAGCGTTTCTCTCGGCCGTCAAGATGTGAAGCTAAGGACGGTCAGTCTAGTCAACATGACACGAGGGGACGTGGGTTGAACTAAACGAGAGAAAGGACAGGTAGCAATTCTACCTTGCCAGGTAGAAAAGCCAGTTGTAGAGGTATAGCAAGCTTTCCAGCAAGCTAGCTAGGTTAGCCAAGCCTTCCGGCGAAAGTTAGCCAAGTTTCAGTAGCTAGCAGTGTGACGCTAACAACCACAGGAGTGAGTAGGAAAGGCAGAGATAATTCTACACAAAGCAAAATAACTTTCCGTACGGTCTGTCTTTCAACACAAAATAATAGGGCTGAGGTCGTACGTTCAGCAACGTTAACCTCACGGTTCGCCTAGGAACTGTTTAGCAGGAAGACAGGTTCAAGTCGTGCTGAGGAGAGCTTCAGGAGCACAGTGACTCTTTGCAAGGAAGAGAGCGCAAATGACTAGTCGGTGGGCGAGTGGCGCCTTATAAGGAAGGAGGGGCTCACCCTATTCGCCACTCGACCGGTCTCTGACAGATGCTGTGTGATTGGTTTATAACATATTGGATCGCTGCGCTTAATCCCATAAGTGATACATCGAAACAAGTATTTGAAATATACAGTGCCTTGCAAAAGTATTCATCCCCCTTGGCATTTTTCCTATTTTGTTGCATTACAACCTGTAATTTAAATGGATTTTTATTTGGATTTCATGTAATGGACATACACAAAATAGTCCAAAGTGGTGAAGTGAAATGAAAAAAATAACTTGTTTCAAAAAATTCTAAAATATAAATAATGGAAAAGTGGTGCGTGCATATGTATTCACCCCCTTTGCTATGAAACCCCTAAATAAGATCTGGGGCAACCAATTACCTTCAGAAGTCACATAATTAGTTAAATAAAGTCCACCTGTGTGCAATCTAAGTGTCACATGATCTGTCACATGATCTCAGTATATGTATAGTGGGGGAAAGTATAGTGGGGGAAAAAAGTATTTAGTCAGCCACCAATTGTGCAAGTTCTCCCACTTAAAAAGATGAGAGAGGCCTGTAATTTCCATCATAGGTACACGTCAACTATGACAGACAAAATGAGGAAAAAAAATCCAGAAAATCACATTGTAGGATTTTTAATGAATTTATTTGCAAATTATGGTGGAAAATAAGTATTTGGTCAATAACAAAAGTTTCTCAATACTTTGTTATATACCCTTTGTTGGCAATGAGACAGGTCAAACGTTTTCTGTAAGTCTTCACAAGGTTTTCACACACTGTTGCTGGCATTTTGGCCCATTCCTCCATGCAGATCTCCTCTAGAGATGCCATTAATACAGATAACGAGTAAAGGACAGAGGAGCCTCTTAAAGAAGAAGTTACAGGTCGGTGAGAGCCAGAAATCTTGCTTGTTTGTAGGTGACCAAATACTTATTTTCCACCATAATTTGCAAATACATTCATAAAAAATCCTACAATGTGATTTTCTGGATTTTTTTTCCTCAATTTGTCTGTCATAGTTGACGTGTACCTATGATGAAAATTACAGGCCTCTCTCATCTTTTTAAGCGGGAGAACTTGCACAATTGGTGGCTGACTAAATACTTTTTTTCCCCCACTGTACACCTGTTCTGAAAGGCCCCAGAGTCTGCAACACCACTAAGTAAGGGGCACCACCAAGCAAGTGGCACAATGAAGACCAAGGAGCTCTCCAAACAGGTCAGGGACAAAGTTGTGGAGAAGTACAGATCAGGGTTGGGTTATAAAAAAATATCAGACACTTTGAACATCCCACGGAGCACCATTAAATCCATTATAAAAAAAATGGAAAGTGTCAAGCCCTGGCTCTGGGGACTCTTAAATGTTGAGTCAGGGTGTGTAGTTTCTATGTTGTGTTTTTCTATGTTTAGTTCTAGATCGTTTAGATCTATGTTGGCCGGTGTGGTTCCCAATCAGAGGCAGCTGTAGCTCGTTGTCTCTGATTGGGGCCAATACTTAGGTAGCCTGTTGGCACTAGTGTGTTGTGGGATCTTGTTCCGTGTAAGGTATGTTGTGTGTATGCTACCTTGGACTTCACGTTTCGTTTGTTGTTTTGTCGTGGTGTTTAGTCGTAAATAAACATGTATGCTTATCACGCTGCGCCTTGGTCCGTCTCGTTCGTAAACGATCGTGACAGAAAGACTATGGCACCACAACAAACTTGCCAAGAGAGGGCCGCCCACCAAAACTCACAGACCAGGCAAGGAAGGCATTAATCAGAGAGGCAACAAAGAGACCAAAGACTTGCAGCTGTAATTGCTGCAAAAGGTGGCTCTACAAAGTATTGACTTTGGGGGGGGTGAATAGTTATGCACGCTCAAGTTTTCTGTTTTTTTTTTGGTATTATTTCTTGTTTGTTTCACAATAACAAATATTTCGCAACTTCAAAGTGGTAGGCATGTTGTGTAAATCAAATGATACAAACCCCAAAAAAATCAATTTTAATTCCAGGTTGAAAGTCAGCAAAATAGGAAAAATGCCAAGGGGGGTGAATATTTCCGCAAGCCACTGTAACTCTTTTTGGTTCCAGGTAGAACCTTTTCCCCAAAAGGTTCTTTAAGCGTTTTTTGTTGGGTGAAAATGTTGTCCTAGTAGGGATAGCCGAAGAACCCATTATGAACCCTTTTTTCTAAGGGTGTAGATACAGTACACAAAGAGCCTTTTAGAGTGTCTCCAATATATGTACAGGGCTGGCTCTCTGCTTGCATCCGTCACTATGGTAACAGAAATCAATAGGTCTTTTGAAGTGAGAAACTGCGCACATCTAACACCGATATGGAGCCATGGTTCTTAAGGTGTGAGAGTGGGGCGGTCAGACTGTTCCAGTGAAGGAGCAGATAAAAGCCCACATCATTACCATGAAAGCATATACAGACAAAGAAAGCTCATTGTTATTCCATTACACATGATAATGACCTTTCTGTCAAAGGTCGGAAATATATCATATTAATATTCAATAATTGTTTGGAGAACATAATGCGTCAATTACCCTAAAACCCCCAACTCCTTTCTTCCTATTCACCTCAAATCATGATCATGCTCTGATTTGCTACAGCTATTAATGTCGTTTTGCTTGGTTTGAAACAAATAATCTCATAGACTTTTCATGAAATGCATGCACTTATCCAAACATATCAACATTATAAATTCTGTAGTTTGACTGAAAATGTAATTACCATGTAATCATAAATGTACAGTAAATTATGAAAATAATGTTATTTGGTGCTTGTTGAAAATGCAAGGCAGTGGTACATTCTCTATTATAGGCCATTACTCAATCAAATCATTTTAAATGAGATGGAAGAGATTAATAGAATTTGCATGCTTTATATCATGGCTGAGGCTGTGGATCTGAAGGTAACCGCACATATTTTGACTAGTGGTGGTGTTAATAAACTGTAGCATACCTGTGTTTTGTTTCAAACAAAGTACATATTTTGACTAGTGGTGCGCGCGGTGTTGAGTTTTGGCCATATGAGAGAATTTCTTTTGTCTTACAGTAACGTTATACTATGCTATTATATTCGATTCTGTTATGTAGAATATTATCATTATGTGATATTGCAGACATTGATTCAGCTTTAATCTAACTTTACTAAACAAATAACTAACTTTATTTGATGTAACTTTATTGGATGTCTTGAAAAGTGCATACATTAAAATGTATTATTATTATTATTATTATTATTATTATTATTAAACGAGCACCATTCTCCATTCATCACTGGGTAGCCGAACGAGCAGAGCAGAGACTGTACGTAAAGTAGAGAATCTTTGGACCTTTAGCTGTCGGAAAGAGGGTCGCAGAGAATTCGGATCCGCAGCCAGCAGCCACTCCGTTATATCAAAAATGCCACTCCTATGTAATGTAATTGACATTACACAAGTCTGTATCGTCATAAGAAATGAATACAGCTTGGTCATTGGCTGCAATGCAACAAACAATGCCAGGATAAAATCGTGTTCAAAGAGGAGGCCTTTTAATATAGTGAGTTGAACAGTAGAATTAGAACAGCCTTAGGCAATGACACTGTATTAAGACATAAACATGATTATACTTTACTTTAGTCTGCTTGTTTTCTGGTATGTATATAGACTTACAAGGTAATTACATAATAAGTCCTTCTTATTTATTTCAGATTCATGTAATCAAACATCATTATGTACCTATTTCAATACATACTATTTGGTAGAAAGTAGTAACTAATTATGTTGTAATCTTTAAGTATCAGACAGTATACATTGTTGCCATATAATGTCTTCTAAAATGAGCTAAAATTAGAGTATAATATAAACACATTAACAATAAATCACTATTGCCAACATTGAGACCATGGTATACTGTATGGTCAGTCATGACTCATAGCTGGTCTATTCTATTCAAGATTTTCCTCCCAGGTTACCCACCTGTGTTTTCAGCTCCAGGCACGGTGACTCACTGTGCTGTCCCAGGGTTATAGCATATTCCACCACATCATGACTAAAACAGTCTTCTCCATAGAAGGCCAGGCCCCAGGCTGGGCTGAGGCTGTGGCTAGACTCCTCTGCTCCGGAGCAGGGGGAGAGGAGACGCTCAGACACCAGAGATTCTGTGTCCTCCATGTCCTCGGTGCAGTCAGGGCTCCTCTGGCCTAGGTGGCCCACCCTCAGTGGCTCGTCAGTCCCCCACAGAGAGTCAGCTTCAGAGGGGCTTTCATCGCTGACCCCCCCTGGATGCTCGGCACTCTCCATGGCCCCCTTACCCAAACACTCAGCAGCTCTCAATCCTGGACCAGGAAACAGGCAGATCAGGAAGAGAGAGAGAGAGAGAGAATCAGGCAGTGTGTGTGCGCAGAGATTTTAAGAGGTGGAATTCTCTCAAGGCTGAAGCTTTCTTTTGTTAAAAGGCACTTTTACATTTGTTTGTTGGCAAGCAGTTAAATGTTAACCTTGTTATATTGTTAGATTCTGCATCACAGGCATCCTCCACCTACAAATGTGAGCAGCCTATTTTTGCTCTGATTAATCATCTCACACATAACGTCTTTTGTGTGAAACTGAAGAGGTGTGTTTGTGTGTATGTGAGTGTGCAGTGTTTGTTACCAATGTGTCTCTGGGTGTGAGTGTGTATTATGCTAAGTGTATGTATTGGTGTGTGTAGATGGAGAGGAAGTAACTGTGCCTGTGTCGGTTTTCACAACAACCCTCTCCAGCTGAGGAGATCATTGTGACATCGCAGCATGATTTGGGCTGTCTTGAATAAACTGTGCTCTTAACAATTTAATCCAACAGCCAGTCATTCCTCTAATAAATTGATCCAACTGCCATTCAAAGCTGGATTTCGTTTATCATGATAACGGTAACAGTGATGACAGTTGTAAAGTAATGGTAACAGCCCAGCTAGCACATAACGTTCTGAGAACCATATGTTTCTTAGAGCTTGGTGAGAGCGTGGTTGTCCATTGGTTATTTTGCATATAACCTTCCAAAAAAAGTCTGGGAATGTTGCAGGATACCCTGCCAGCACATAACGTTCTGAGAACCATATGTTTCTTAGGTGGGAATTTCAGTACTTCAGCATAACGTTTCACTCTGTGAGGCATATCGATCTGCAGGTTGAGCATGGTGAAATTGTTTCTCCCTGCAAATACACAGGAACAGCTGGTTGTGTGTGCTGCCTGCCATGACCACTGTGGGGCGATATAGGTGAAAACAATATGTTTTTTGAACAAATGTTTCATTTTTTCGTTATAATAAGGTTGGTAGCAACGTGAAAATTGTTGTGGAAATCTGTTGCAGCTCAAGTTGACTACAAAACCCACAATGCAATGCTCTCTATATGGGCTGGACGGCTAGCTAGCAAACATTGCTACACACATTAATGCCATAGTCAATTTCAGCATGTGAAGTAGCTAGTTAGCTGTAAAATCGCCTAAACAAACTGCACTATAAATTTAGCAGTCTACAATTTCACCATGCTCAACCTGCAGATCGATGTGCCTCACAGAGTGTGACATTCGCAACAGCACCATGCAATGCACCCTGGACTGAAGAGGCAGACAAATAGGAGAAACGTGTTAGACCCTCTGTTAAATTAGACATTTCTCGAAGTAGGAATATTGCAAAAACATTATCAATGGCTAATTCGTGAGAAGGCCAGTATTGAAATCTGACGTGTAGGATAGATGTTTTCGCGATCTAAAAGTTGTATTCCTATTAACTTCCAGTGTAGTGAGAGCGGCTTTATCGCAATGCTACGTCATACCAGCCAAATTTCTGCCTGCTTGAACGGCAATAGCTCAGATATACAGTGGGGGAAAAAAGTATTTAGTCAGCCACCAATTGTGCAAGTTCTCCCACTTAAAAAGATGAGAGAGGCCTATAATTTTCATCATAGGTACACGTCAACTATGACAGACAAAATGAGAAAAAAAATCCAGAAAATCACATTGTAGGATTTTTTATGCATTTATTTGCAAATTATGGTGGAAAATAAGTATTTGGTCAAAAACAAAAGTTTCTCAATACTTTGTTATATACCCTTTGTTGGCAATGACACAGGTCAAACGTTTTCTGTAAGTCTTCACAAGGTTTTCACACACTGTTGCTGGTATTTTGGCCCATTCCTCCATGCAGATCTCCTCTAGAGCAGTGATGTTTTGGGGCTGTCGCTGGGCAACACGGACTTTCAACTCCCTCCAAAGATTTTCTATGGGGTTGTGATCTGGAGACTGGCTAGGCCACTCCAGGACCTTGAAATGCTTCTTACGAAGCCACTCCTTCGTTGCCCGGGTGGTGTGTTTGGGATCATTGTCATGCTGAAAGACCCAGCCAGGTTTCATCTTCAATGCCCTTGCTGATGGAAGGAGGTTTTCACTCAAAATCTCACGATACATGGCCCCATTCATTCTTTCCTTTACACGGATCAGTCGTCCTGGTCCCTTTGCAGAAAAACAGCCCCAAAGCATGATGTTTCCACCCCCATGCTTCACAGTAGGTATGGTGTTCTTTGGATGCAACTCAGCATTCTTTGCCCTCCATCACAACGAGTTGAGTTTTTACCAAAAAGTTATATTTTGGTTTCATCTGGCCATATGACATTCTCCCAATCCTCTTCTGGATCATCCAAATGCACTCTAGCAAACTTCAGACAGGCCTGGACATGTACTGGCTTAAGCAGGGGGACACGTCCCGCACTGCAGGATTTGAGTCCCTGGCGGCGTAGTGTGTTACTGATGGTAGGCTTTGTTACTTTGGTCCCAGCTCTCTGCAGGTCATTCACTAGGTCCCCCCGTGTGGTTCTGGGATTTTTGCTCACCGTTCTTGTGATCATTTTGACCCCACGGGGTGAGATCTTGCGTGGAGCCCCAGATCGAGGGAGGTTATCAGTGGTCTTGTATGTCTTCCATTTCCTAATAATTGCTCCCACAGTTGATTTCTTCAAACCAAGCTGCTTACCTATTGCAGATTCAGTCTTCCCAGCCTGGTGCAGGTCTACAATTTTGTTTCTGGTGTCCTTTGACAGCTCTTTGGTCTTGGCCATAGTGGAGTTTGGAGTGTGACTGTTTGAGGTTGTGGACAGGTGTCTTTTATACTGATAACAAGTTCAAACAGGTGCCATTAATACAGGTAATGAGTGGAGGACAGATAATGCCTCATAAAGAACAAGTTACAGGTCTGTGAGAGCCAGAAATCTTGCTTGTTTGTAGGTGACCAAATACTTATTTTCCACCATAATTTGCAAATAAATTCATTAAAAATCCTACAATGTGATTTTCTGGAGAAAAAAATTCTCAATTTGTCTGTCATAGTTGACGTGTACATATGATGAAACTTACAGGCCTCTCTCATCTTTTTAAGTGGGAGAACTTGCACAATTGGTGGCTGACTAAATACTTTTTTTCCCCACTGCACATGAAAACATTAAATGAACCAGGGAATCAATAGAACATCACTCAAAGATGCACAAAAACAATATAACATTCAAGATGGGTGAATCTTTACTTTAAGTGTATACAGGTGTGTTGGCCGTGCCTACTAATTGGTCACACTTGATCTTAATGAGTGCTTGTTTCCTTTGAAATGGTGTCAAAAATGAACAGTTTTGTATGAGTTAAAAAAAAAATTGCAAGCTAGCTCCATCCTGGTGGTGCAGTGGACTAATTCCATGGATAGAGAACAGAAGATCATAGGTTTGAATCTCACTGATGCCGTGCTACAATAAAAAAAGAACTGTGTTTGCATGATTAATGCCTGAGCAAATGACAGTAAACACAAACTAAGCTAGCAGTGTTATTAAAAGTCTCTTTGAAACATTGTTACATAACGTTATTTAATTACCTTCAAATAACCTATAATTTCTGTTCTCAGAAGGTTAATAAAACTTTCAGGGATCCATAATAAAACATTTTACATTTACATTTGAGTCATTTAACAGATGCTCTTATCCAGAGTCACTTACAGATAGTGAGTGCATACATTTTCATACTGGCCCCCCGTGGGAAACGAACCCACAACCCTGGCGTTGCCAAACATTATCAGAACCTCCCTGCAACCTAAATATTAACATTCACAGAACAGGCTAAATGTTATCCGTCCGTCAGTCATTCTGTTTTACCGGTCAAGAAACGTATGGCTTCATTCCCAGAACCAATGGGAAACCAAAAAGGTACGTTGCCACAACTTCAAAGGAACCAAATGTGCTAGCTGGGAGTGATGACAGTTGTGAAGTAAGGTAACAGTGATGCCAGTTGTGAAGTTAATGTATTTCCTTTCCTACCTGGGCAGCCATTATGTTGACCTTCCTCTGATACGGTATCTCTATGTTCAGGTTCAGTCTCTGTTACTCTGTGTGTAGACAGGGGCCTCTGGTCTCTCTCAAATTTCTCCCACGCGTCTGAAGCTACAGGTCCACGGTGGTGCAGGTTGCCATTCAGGTCGACATGACCACGCCGCGGTGCGTCCCTCTCCTCCCCTCTCCAGCCAGCAGCACTCATGGGTGAGGTGGCTGCCCTTTGCCAAGGCTTTGATGGTGACCCTTCATTAGAGCCTCTACATGTGGCACATCAACAGCCAGAGAGAGAAAGACAGAGAGACAGAGATCATAACACAACAGTCAACCAGTCACAGCTAGCCACAAGCATCACAGCCACACACAGACAACTAGACAGACACATAATGAACACAGACAAAAGCACAAAGAACTCAGACAAACACAGACAACTTTCTTAGACAAAACACAGGGAACTTTGACAAAACACACTAATTCAATAAAACAGAACGCAGACTAAAAGAGCTCAGACTGAAAAGTAATTGAAACATCACAGACAGTAATTAGACACAACATAAACAACACAGACAAAATAGTGGGAATAACAACTCAGTCAATATGAAAACACAGCAGATACTATAAGTTCAGACAAATAATAATATTATGAGAAATCTAGACAGACAGTTGAGACAAGCACACTCCTCACAGGCATAATTAAAATCGTTAATTAGGCCAACACATATGAATGAATCAAAACAAACCAATCAATAATTAGCTATCAAAACAAACCAATCAATCCTTAGCGTCTCCTTAGCAGCTTCCTGACAGCCGAGGTTGAGTTGTCCAAAACGGTTTGTATCCAAAGCAGAGTGTTCTAGTAGCATCAGGACTTCTCCAATGAGCTACCCTAGCGGTGACAGGCTTCTCCAGCTTACAGTCTAAAAGCCCCACTCAGAGGAGAGTATCTGTCTGTCTGTTGGTCTGTCTGTCCAAGGCTATGATGTCTGTCTGTCTCATCACCACAGAATATGAAAGGTTCTCTCAACACACTGCCCCAGGTGTTAAGAGCATGGCAACCATGGGACAAGCTGCACATCTCAACACACTCTCATGTGCCCCTCCTTCGTCTTTGTCTGCAGATGTATGAACAAAAAGGGGCAAGTCCTTATTTCACCTTTTCCTTCATTCATGTACACTCCTCCAGGATCTTTATGATTCTCTCAAAGACAAGGCAGGAAGAACCATAAGTAGCTCATCAATTGTGCCAAACCAATATTCTCGAGATAAACAAAAAAACACGAGATGAGCTATTACCATAGGGACCTTTCTTCCTGGAAAAAAAGGAGCGACCTTTGTGTGTCTGAAGTGAATCTTCTGTGAATGCTGATTATGAGTGGAGTGTCTGAGTTTGTGTGTGTGTGTGTGTGTGTGTGTGCGTGCATGCATGTGTGTGTAAGGGGGAGGGGTTGTAGAATCTAAATGGTTTATTGTTGTTGAAGACTCACATGAGAGAAATTAAAATTCTAAACACAAACACTGCCAATTTTGGGCTTCTCCCCTGCTCATAGAGACAAACTAAGCTTGTTGACTGGATAAGCTTGTTGACAGAGAATACTTTTGAGGAGAGCAAAATCCTTCTGATACCATTGACAGCCAGCTAAAGACAGTTTTATAACACTGGCATTATTGTTTGTTTAACCAAGAGTGTAGCTTAAAGTGTTACTAGAGATAAAGTGTTGTCCAAAAGAACAGGATCAGTGGTTGCTCATTCTTTCTGTCTATATAAATGAAAGTGTGACTTTCTTTTTCACTTGTACCGTTTATCTTGTTAGGCTTCTGTTATTGAGAGAAGACCTGTGTTTGATAAAACAGGCAATCATTGACATACTCACAGAGAGAATTGGTTGTAGTTGACCACACAATGTAGCACTCCCAATAAGTCCTCATCCCAGTAAAGGTCACAGAACTTCTCTTTCACAACATTGCAGAACGTCTGGTACTGTAGGTCCTTCAGAGACAGAATATACTCCCCTTTGAACACATAAACATGAGATGATACATCAATTACACAGGTTTTTGGTAGACAGAAAGCTTGTCGTACAAGTTCACACCAGTGATCATACATTTAATGACACAACTGTAGTATCTCTCCACAAAGCAATTAACCGAACCAAATCCACCGGGGGGAAAAACAGAGATAGTGGGCTACTAGCCTGGTGCTAGTAGCCCACTATCTCTGGCGTGACAAGAACTGTAGGAGTTGGCAATACAGCCTAAACAGATCTGGGGCCATAGGCTACATGTGATGCTAGAGAGAGTGAATAATAATCTCCATGTTACTTACCCATTGCTAGATCCTCCACACCATTCTCCAGATAGCCATCAAAGGCAAACTCTGCCCTGAGCAGGCCAATAACCTCCTGTAGGGAAGGGTGCATCAGTGGGGAGGGGTGAGGATGGGAGTCTCCCTGAGGAGGTCCATGGGACTCAGATAGGGGTTCATCCTCACATTCTCCTGTCCTCTCCTCCTCTCCATTGTGGGGTTGGGACATGGACACTAAGGGGTCCAAGGGTCTGCTGCAGGTGCTGCCATTAAGGCAAGCCAGCAGGGGTTCAGCTCCCTGACGAGGGGTCAGATGGTCTCTAGGGCCCCCTGGATGTGTAGGTTGACCCTGGAAGTAGCTGGAGCTTGAGGTCAGGGACAGATTGAGCTCCAGTCCATGGAGAGACTCAGCGACTGTTATCTGCACCGGCACCAGGGTTAGGTGCCCTGTTAGTGGGTCATGACGCAAGAGGAAGTTGTTGAAAACACCACCACCAGTCAGATGAGAGCAGGATGACGATTGGAAAGAGGAAGACAAAGACAACTGGGTGGTCAGTTCGGGGGAGGCGGGAGGTGGAGAGTTGACCAATGTCCTGCTGCTAGAGGTGGTGGTGGAGGAGTGGCGTGTGACCACGTTGTTTTGATTGACAGGGCTGTCATTTCCGTTGTCCTGTTGGTCTCTATCTGACTGAGGTAGGGGTAGGTCCTCAAGGTGTAAGAGGGTTTCTGGGTCCTTGGCCTCTTGCATAGGCTGGATGTCACTGCCTCTTGTGACTTCACTTATAGTCCTGCAACACAACATGTGAGAATTAAAAATGCATTCTTGAAATCAGTGAACAAATGGAATGACATCTCTGCCATAATCAATAAAGAAACTATGGTCGGATCCACCTTGCAAAGATATCAATGCTGCTTGAAACAATTCCATGACTGGTATCTTATCTCCATAGAAAGGAAGCAAACTGCTTACCCCTCAATGTCTGAAGCAGACAGGGGAGTTTCTTCCTCAGTGTCCCCCTCCCTGGTCAGGACGATGGGGGTGAAGTGTGTGGCAGGGGAGGTGAAGGCCTCTGGAAGCTGGGGGGATCCACTGATTGGATAGCTATGGGGAACAGGGCCAGGTACAGGAGCCAATCGGCTCTCAGTAGCCATGGGCACAAACCCTACACACAGTTACAACAACCCCAGTTACAACATCAATACCATTTCATCACAAATCTGTATGTAGATGTACTGATAGTAAGGTCAACAAAATCGCTTGAGCATAATGTCTGAAAAGATTAATGAATCGTACCACTCTTGATATGTGTTGATTCCTGACTTGAGCTTCCTCTACTGTCCAATCCATTCTGATCCTCTGCATCAATGTCCTTTGTGAGTGGCTGAAAGGTAAGGAAGGGAGTTATCCTCGACAGACAAGAATGGAATAACAATGTGTCCTGCCTTTCACTTTCAAGGGGTAATATGTGTCTCACTACCCCTTTCAAACAGTAGCTACAGTCCCAGCTAGCTTTGGGTTCCTTGGAAGTTGTGGGAACGTCCGTTTTTTGGTTTCCCATTGGTTCTGTGAACAAAGCCATACGTTTCCTGACCGGTAAAACATAACGTTTTTTAAATGTTCTGTGAACGGAAGTGAACATTTTGCCTGTTCTAGGAATTTTTAGGTTGCAGGGAAGTTCTGAGAACATTTTACTATGGTTCCCTGAAAGTTTTCCTTGGAGGTTTTATTAAGGTTCTGAGAACGAACATTACAGGATATTTCAAGGTAATTAAATAATGTTATGAGAACATTCTCTATATGTTGTGGAATGAAATGTAAATGTTATTTGGAGGATTTTGAATAACTTCCTTAAAACTTTCACTGAATGTTTCAATTAGACTTTTAATAACACTGCTAGCTTAGTTTAACTGTTTTGAACTCCAAGCACAGATAGGACACATTTAAATTAATTTGCTTTGGCATTAATCCTGCAAACACATCTCACATGACATCAGTGAGATTCGAACCTATGATCTTCTGTTCTCTAACCATGGAATTAGTCCACCTCGCCACCAGGATGGAGCTAGCATGCCTTTTTTCTTTTACTCATACAAAGCTCTTAATTTGTATCTATTCGAATAGACCCCATTTCAAAGGAACAACACACCTGAACAGATTTAACAAGATAGAGAGTTTTGTTTATGCTGAGAACAGAATATATATGTTTTCATACATACATTTAATTCTAAGAACGTGCTTTGAATGTTAGTAATGTTTTCATGTGGTTTTTATGGAAATTTGTCTTAATGTTCTGAGAACATGACTTTAAATAGAACCATGAGGAAACCTGTAGGAAACGTTATGCTGAAGTACTGAAATTCCCACAGAAGAACGTTGTTTGTTAACGTTCTCTGAACTATTTGGAGAACATTCCTAGAACATTACTAAAAAATGGTAATGAAATATAACCAGGTTTGAACTTTTAGGAAACATTCTGTTAAAGTAATGAAATACCAAGAAAATAACATTATTTTGTCAAGTTCCTTAAATGTGCTGAGAATGTTCCAAAGCCAAGCAACTATCCTGCAACATTCCCAGAACGTTGTGGGAAGGTTGTATGCAAAATAACCATAGGACAACCACACTCTCACCAAGCTCTAAGAAACATATGGTTCTCAGAACTTTATGTGCTAGCTGGGGTGGTACAATGGAGTGGTACCGGGTGGACTCTGTTGATCAGCTTCGTCCACACTGTCTCAGAGTTCGTTCCTTGGCGTGATAGATAATCACAACAGCTCTGTAACAGCAGAAACATAATGAAACACATGAAAATCTGTTACCTCAGCACCTAAGCTACTTCATTCATTCACTTATTTATACATTAATTAATTACTTTGTTCATCAAATCAAACTTTATTTAAAGTGCATTTAAAATCGCAACACACTTTACAGTAAAGACATTTTGCTCATTTGTTCATTCATTCACTTTATTTCATTCACCAGGATAGTGAGATAATTGAATTGTTAGTAGTTTCAATACAATCACGTTTACAAATTCCTGTCCATTAAAATGCAAAAGATGTTACATATGTAAAGTGTTACTAACACATTGATCAAAAGAAGAATAGATGGATGTGCTTTCAGTAGAGTGGTTGACAGCTGAAACTATCACTACCTTTTTAGCTATGGCAATGGAGGGTCTCTCGAAGGGCGTCCTCTTGGCCATCTCCAGCAGCAGCCTCTTCAACTTGCTGGGCATAGTCAGTTTTTGATTGGCTGACAGATTGAACTTGGCCGTGGCCCATAGGATGGCAGCCACCCCATAGACACAGGCCTAGAACAGACAGACAGATGAAACCCACTTAATCAGTATTCATCTACTTGATGGAAAAAAACTTTTATTTTAAAAGATGAAAGTCAGAAGTTGAGGCAAACCTTTTCAGTTACGATTCCATGCTCCTGGAATTCAGGCGCCAGATAAAATGCATCACAGGATCCTACAAGGAACATTCATGTTGAATTATTGAATGCGACAACATTTCAAATAAATATTGCCCCATATTGACACTTTGCTCAAGAGCACTGTTGAATATTTAAAGTCAAAACAGCTGTAAATAAACAGAGACAAAGAGTATATGGAAAGTGCTGAAGTAACTTTATCATTCCAGACAGAGACAATTGCTGACTACTGTGGATAAGCAAAAAGAGCAATACCTGTGTTTTTAGGTTTCAAGAAGAGAACTTCTCCCTGACAACCCACATACATTGTGTCCAGGCATAAGTACGCTTTCAGGGAGGAAGACAATAAAAGAAGAAAGAAGAAAGAACAGTAGGTATATATATATAATAATAATAATATAATATAATAATAATAATAATAATAATAATAATAATAATATATAACAGTTAATACATGTGTCAAATGTATGTCAAACTAAATAAAGTTTTAAATGATGTATTGCCATATTGATGTTTCTTATAATAATTTCATCAACAGCAAAGTGGTTTACAGAGACCAGAAAAGGCGAGGGATTGGATGCTTACTGCTTAGTAAATAATGTAATTGGTTTACACACAGCAGAGTCAGTATCAGTGGCTGGTAGACAGATGAGTCACTAACCTGGGTAGTCTAAGTACGTCTGCAGTGTGGAGAGGCAGGTATGACACAGGGCCCATAGCTCATTAACAGACAATCTCTGCCCACTCTGTGTGAGTAGATCCCTCAGAGAGATCCACTATGTCACAATCAATCACAAACACTGTTAACATCTCCATCCCTCCCAAAGAGCACACTACAGTAGAAAAAGAAGTGCCAGGTTCCTGGACCCAGATTAAGCCTAGTCCTGGACAAAAAAGCATGCTCAACGGAAAATCAACACTGAAAGTGCTTTTTACTCCAGGAATAGCCTTAATCTGGGCCTCTGAAACCAGCCTGAAAAATTGTAAACAAGGCATTTTCTGAAACTAAGGCATTTAAATATACGTACAGTGCATTCGGAATGTATTCAGACCACTTGACTTTTTTCACATTTTGTTACGTTACAGCCGTATTCTAAAATTGATTAAATCGTTTTTTTCCCTCATCAATCTACACACAATACCCCATAATGACAAAGCAAAAACAGGTTTAAAAAAACAACTGAAATATTACATTTACATAAGTATTCAGACCCTTTACTCAGTACTTTGTTGAAGCACCTTTGGCAGCGATTACAGCCTTGAGCCTTCTTGGGTATGACGCTACAAGCTTGGGACACAGAGTGGCGCAGTGGTCTAAGGCACTGCATCGCAGTGCTAGCTGTGCCACTAGAGATCCTGGTTCGAGTCCAGGCTCTGTCGCAGCCGGCCGCGACCGGGAGACCCATGAGCGGTGCACAATTGGTCCAGCTTCGTCCAACGTAGGGGAGGGTTTGGCCGGCAGGGATGTGGGTTCGTTTCCCACGGGGGGCCAGTATGAAAAAAATATAAATAAAAACATGTATGTATTCACTAACTGTAAGTCGCTCTGGATAAGAGCGTCTACTAAATGACTAAAATGTAAATGTATTTGGGGAGTTTCTCCAATTCTTCTCTGTAGATCCTCTCAAGCTCTGTCAGGTTGGATGGGGATCGTCGCTGCATGGCTATTTTCATGTCTCTCCAGATCGGGTTCAAGTTTGGGCTCTGGCAGGGCCACTCAAGGACATTCAGAGACTTGTCCGAAGCCACTCCTGCGTTGTCTTGACTGTGTGCTTAGGGTCGTTGTCCTGCTGGAAGACCTTCGCCCGAGTCTGAGGTCCTGAGCGCTCTGGAGCAGGTTTTCATCAAGGATCTCTCTATACTTTGCTCCGTTCATCTTTCCGTTGATCCTGACTAGTCTCCCAGTCCCTGCCGCTGAAAAACATCCCCACAGCATGATGCTGCCACCACCATGCTTCACCGTAGGGATGGTGCCAGGTTTCCTCTTTTGGCAAACTCCAAGCAGTCTGTCATGTGCCTTTTACTGAGGAGTGGCTTCCGTCTGGCTTCTCTATCATAAAGGCCTGATTGGTCGAGTGCTGCAGAGATGGTTGTCCTTCTGGAAGGTTCTCCCATCTCCACAGAGGAACTCTGGAGCTCTGTCAGAGTGACCATCGGGTTCTTGGTCACATCCCTGACCAAGGCCCTTCTCCCCCGATTGCTCAGTTTAGCCGGGCGGCCAGCTCTAGGAAGAGTCTTGGTGGTTACAAACTTCTTCCATTTAAGAATGATGGAGGCCACTGCGTTCTTGGGGACCTTAAATGTTGCAGAAATGTTTTGATACCCTTCCCCAGATCTGTGCCTCGCCACAATTCAGTCTCGGAGCTCTACGGACAATTCCTTCGACCTCATGGCTTGGTTTTTGCCCTGACATGCCTTGTCAACTGTGGGACCTTATTCAGACAGGTGTGTGCCTTTCCAAATCATGTCCAATTAATTAAAACATCTCAAGGATGATCAATGGAAACAGGGTGCACCTGAGCTCAATTTTGAGTCTCATAGCAAAGGGTCTGAATACTTATGTAAATAAGGTATTTCTGTTTTAAATTTTTTATAAATTTGCAAAAATGTCTAAAAACCTTTTTTCACTTTGTCGTTATGGGGTATTGTGTGTAGATTGATGAGGGGAAAAAATAATTGTATCAATTTTAGAATAAGGCAGTAACCTAATAAAATGTGGAAAAATTCAAGGGGTCTAAATACTTGACTTTTTCAGACCCCTTGACTTTTTCCAAATTTACATGCGCTGTATATGCTCAAAGCAGATCAATTAAATAGTTTAGTCTAATTTAGACTTGAACTCACCTCATCTTGAGATGTTTCATTGAGGCACAGCATGCTTTTAGTCATGTGATTATTTGAAGTGTGAAGGTTTGAGGTTAAAGTCACGTTGCAAGCAGAGTCAACCGACACTTCCGGGTCTTGAGCTGGGCGGGACAAAGTGGGATCATCACGTGTTCCATTTTGACCGTCTGAATCTGTTTCACCACCACATATGGGCAGGTGAGAATGTCTGTCCCCTTCTGACATCTCATTGTCTCTCACTGAGCCCCATTGCTTGGAGTCACTGCACTCATAAGGGGCTTTCTCTCTATCCCCTCTCTTCCTCCAAACAGACCTGTGCCCCATGCATTCCTCAGCTCCTATCTCCGTGAGGTCCGATACATTGACACTGATATCCCCGTGGGGCGTGGGCGGGAGTGCGGGGGGATTATTGGAGTCTGGGACTGAGCAGGAACGATTCAGAACCCCCCTTACCCTCCCAGCCCTCTCCTGATCCCTCCTGCGTACAGGGGAACTGTTCTGAGATCTGCTATCCAACTGCGAACCAAACATGTCCTCCTCTATCACACATCCATCCTCTTCCACATCCCCCATACCGTCAGCCCATAGGGTGGAGTCCCAGACCCCACATATGTGATGCCGGAGAGGTCCGTTGGGGTCGTTGGGGTCTGAGTTCTCAGCTGTGGTATCTGAGACAATGCACTGGTCTTTGAAGCTACTGTCCTCAGAGCTGATGCTTTTGTGGAGCTGCCAGTTGGATTTGTTCTGCCGCCATCGAGCCTCCCAAGAGCTATCCCACCCATCTGTGGATGGTGGATGGATACACAGGTGGTATGGTTATGGCCACAGTGGACTACAATAGAAATATATGTTTACACAGAAATACACAAATATATCTCATGCCTAAAGACAAACCTTGAAATGTTGCAACGGATTCGATTGACAGGACTCTTCTTCCTATAGAAGAGAGTTTCCGGCACAGGGCTGTGGAAGAGGTATGTACTAGCTTTTCCTCTGCAAGGGAGAGGATGTCCTGAGGGGGAGATACATACAGTTGAAGTCGGAAGTTTACATACACTTAGGTTGGAGTCATTAAAACTCATTTTTCAACCACTCCACAAATGTATTGTTAACAAACTATAGTTTTGGCAATTCGGTTAGGACATCTACTTTGTGCGTGACACAAGTAATTTTTCCAACAATTGTTTACAGACAGATTATTTCACTTATAATTCACTGTATCACAATTCCAGTGGGTCAGAAGTTCACATACACTAAATTGACTGTGCCTTTAAACAGCTTGGGCAATTCCAGAAAATTATGTCATGGCTTTAGAAGCTTCTGATAGGCTAATTGACTTCATTTGAGTCAATTGGAGGTGTACCTGTGGATGTATTTTAAGGCGTACCTTCAAACTCAGTGCCTCTTTGCTTGACATCAAGGGAAAATCAAAAGAAATCAGCCAAGACATCAGAAAAAAAATTGTAGACCTCCACAAGTCTGGTTCATCATTGGGAGCCATTTCCAAACGCCTGAAGGTACCACATTCATAATCTGTACAAACAATAGTGCGCAAGTATAAACACCATGGGACCACGCAACCTTCATACCGCTCAGGAAGGAGATGAGTTCTGTCTCCTAGAGATTAACGTACTTTGGTGCGAAAAAAGTGACAGCATCATGCTGTGGGGGTGCTTTGCTGCAGGAGGGACTGGTGCACTTCACAAAATAGATGGCATCATGAGGAAGGAAAATGATGTGGATATATTGAAGCAACATCTCAAGACATCAGTCAGGAAGTTAAAGCTTGGTCGCAAATGGGTCTTCCAAATGGACAATGACCCCAAGCATACTTCCAAAGTTGTGGCAAAATGGCTAAAGGACAACAAAGTCAAGGTATTGGAGTGGCCATCACAAAGCCCTGACCTCAATCCTATAGAAAATGTGTGGGCAGAACTGAAAAAGCATGTGCAAGCAAGGAGGCCTACAAACCTGACTCAGTTACACCAGCTCTGTCAGGAGGAATGGGCCAAAATTCACCCAACTTGTTGTGGGAAGCTTGTGGAAGCCTACCCGAAACGTTTGACCTAACGTTTGACCTAAGTTAGACAATTTAAAGGCAATGCTACCAAATACTAATTGAGTGTATGTAAACTTCTGACCCACTGGGAATGTGATGAAAGAAATAAAAGCTGAAATAAATCATTATCTCTACTATTATTCTGACATTTCACATTCTTAAAATAAAGTGGTGATCCTAACTGACCTAAAACAGGGAACCTTTACTAGGATTAAATGTCAGGAATTGTGAAAAACTGAATTTAAATGTATTTGGCTAAGGTGTATGTAAACTTCCGACTTCAACTGTATAATACTGTAGCTATATCAGCTAACACAAACATACGTACTGTATGACGCAACATTTCTTTATTACGTTTCTGCCATTTCATTATTGATGATTCAATGTTGAGGACTCAGTGTTGAAACAGATTCATTTGTTTCCCAAAAGAAAATACATCCTGTAATTGCTATAAACTTAATATTCAAGTTGTATCCCCTGGGTAGAATTCTGGTTTCATGCATGACTGTGACATCATCAATTTTTTATGCTTTTTCCTATCTGCATTGCACGGTCATTGCTCTTCCACACGGTGCTGCTCATGTTCACTGTCTGTGCACATCTTCAGTATTACAGTTGCATATCAGTATGTCATGTCTTGTATCCGTTTGCCAAAGGGCCTATAGTAGGCCTATTAATAGTCATACTACTACTGCTCCTACTCCTATTGATAGTGCTATCATTACTACCTGAGAGAAAATCACTTCTGATATTTCTTACACCATATTACCTGTAATAATTTGTATAATAAGAGTGTAAAGACAGCACTCCATTAAAGGTCATCCATGATGGTGACCTTACCTGCAGGAGTGGCCTGTCCTCTGGCCCCTCTTCCTGCATCTGCTCCAGCAGTCTCTGAATCTCCTCCCCCAGCTCTGCCTCCAGTTCTGGCTCAATGACAAAGTCCAGCGCAGCAGAGAGGGTGGAGCCCAGAGAGTACATGTGTCCCTGGACGAGATACAGAGCGTCATTGACCTTAAACTGACCCATAGAATCAGACACATGCAATTGTTTATCATAAAATACATCTATGAGACACTGCTTAGACATGTTGACACTGCTTGGACATGTTTGCCTTCAACCATATGGGATTTAAAACATAAAATATGTGTCATTTATGATCTCATGTCAGCACCTCGTGTACCAAACAAACAGCCATAAACCACTACCGTAACCCGTGATCACTGTAACCTCAATTTATTAGTATATGCAGCACACGTCCTTTGGGCAACTTTGTGGGGTCTTGCTGGAAACTGGGCCTAGTTGGCATGCTTTTGGTTGAGGAAGTAATTCACCAGGCCATTAAAAAGTAAATAAAGCTGCAGCAGGCCAGGCCAAGGCCAGGGACAAGTTGCTCCCTCATATGACTACCCTCAGATTAATCATGTCTGGCAGGCAATGTATTCTGGGGCCTTATCTAACAAACACATAATCATCCCTTTATATTTGCCTTGGATCTCATCTCATTGGCTGATAGGCTGCAATACCAGGAGTCAGTGGAGATGAAATTACAGCGCATTAATGGGAATTTCGCCAGAGCCTGTCTCTTTGTATGCCGTGAGAGTTCCCTTTTCTTGTGCTTTACTTGGGGGAATGGAGCTCTTTGTTGCAATTATGGCTTACTTGTTGGCTCCTGAATGAATCTGAATTAGGTGTTTTTTAGGCCAAATCTCAGACAAGGTACAAGATTCCAAACAATTAAAAGGAATGCGACCCGTACTTATGTGGTGGATATGGGAAAGGCGGAAGATCCAGATCTCAAAGTGTGAGACATTACAAAAATAGTTAGCTGAAGCCTCTCTAAGTCGAAATGTCTGTCTCACATAAACAGAGCCAACATGTTAATTCCACCAGCTGCTGTAAGGACATGTTTAGTTCCTGTTGTGTGTACAAGCAGGTCCCAGCAATAGAAATATAATTACTAGAATTCATTATATTTCTATGGCCTCAGCCGCTCCACTTGGAGCACATACATTGGAAGACATTGGAAGACCAGATAAATTAGACAAACATAGACACACAATGGTTTATTCAGTACTCAATGACACACACATTCAACCTGCAATTGATCAACTGATAAATGTAGTCTAGGCAGGAAATAAATGTACAGTGAGGGAAAAAAGTATTTGATCCCCTGCTGATTTTGTACGTTTGCCCACTGACAAAGACATGATCAGTTTTAATGGTAGGTTTATTTGAACAGTGAGAGACAGAATAATAACAACAAAAATCGAGAAAAAAAGCATGTCAAAAATGTTATGAATTGATTTGCATTTTAATGAGGGAAATAAGTTTTGACCACACTGCAAAACATGACTTAATACTTGGTGGCAAAACCCTTGTTGGCAATCACAGAGGTCAGACGTTTCTTGTAGTTGGCCACCAGGTTTGCACACATCTCAGGAGGGATTTTGTTCCACTCCTCTTTGCATATCTTCTCCAAGTCATTAAGGTTTCGAGGCTGACGTTTGGCAACTCAAACCTTCAGCTCCATCCACAGATCTTCTATGGGATTAAGGTCTGGAGACTGGCTAGGCCACTCCAGGACCTTAATGTGCTTCTTCTTGAGCCACTCCTTTGTTGCCTTGGCCGTGTGTTTTGGGTCATTGTCATGCTGGAATACCCATCCACGACCCATTTTCAATGCCCTGGCTGAGGGAAGGAGGTTCTCACCCAAGATTTGATGGTACATGGCCCCGTCCATCGTCCCTTTGATGCGGTGATGTTGTCCTGTCCCCTTAGCAGAAAAACACCCCCAAAGCATAATGTTTCCACCTCCATGTTTGACGGTGGGGATGGTGTTCTTGGGGTCATAGGCAGCATTCCTCCTCCTCCAAACACGGCGAGTTGAGTTGATGCCAAAGAGCTCCATTTTGGTCTCATCTGACCACAACACTTTCACCCAGTTCTCCTCTGAATCATTCAGATGTTCATTGGCAAACTTCAGACGGCCCTGTATATGTGCTTTCTTGAGCAGGGGGACCTTGCGGGCACTGCAGGATTTCAATCCTTCACAGCGTAGTGTGTTACCAATTGTTTTCTTGGTGACTATGGTCCCAGCTGCCTTGAGATCATTGACAAGATCCTCCCGTGTAGTTCTGGGCTGATTCCTCGCCATTCTCATGATCATTGCAACTCCACGAGGTGAGATCTTGCATGGAGCCCCAGGCCGAGGGAGATTGACAGTTATTTTGTGTTTCTTCCATTTGCGAATAATCGCACCAACTCTTGTCACCTTCTCACCAAGCTGCTTGGCGATGGTCTTGTAGCCCATTCCAGCCTTGTGTAGGTCTACAATCTTGTCCCTGACATCCTTGGAGAGCTCTTTGGTCTTGGCCATGGTGGAGAGTTTGGAATCTGATTGATTGATTGCTTCTGTGGACAGGTGTCTTTTATACAGGTAACAAGCTGAGATTAGGAGCACTCCCTTTAAGAGTGTGCTCCTAATCTCAGCTCGATACCTGTATAAAAGACACCTGGGAGCCAGAAATCTTTCTGATTGAGAGGGGGTCAAATACTTATTTCCCTCATTAAAATGCAAATCAATTTATAACATTTTTGACATGCGTTTTTTTCTGGATTTTTATGTTGTTATTCTGTCTCTTACTGTTCAAATAAACCTACCATTAAAATTATAGACTGATCATTTCTTTGTCAGTGGGCAAACGCACAAAATCAGCAGGGGATCAAATACTTTTTTCCCTCACTGTATAGGGCTACATGGTTACAATGAGTGACAACGCAGAGGGAGAAATTAGGGAGAGGGAGTGAGGGAGATCTGAAAGAGAATAAGTGAACGAGAGACAAGAGAAAGAGAAAGAGATAATTATTTATTTATTTTTCCTCCTTATTAGCTCTGACTTTGCTTATAGCTACTTTATTGAGGAAAAATGTACTTACTATGACTGTGATATGTGGTTGTCCCACCTAGCTATCTTAAGATGAATACATTAACTGTAAGTCGCTCTGGATAAGAGCTTCTGCTAAATGACTCAAATGTAAACGTAAATGTAATGAGTTAATGAGACAGCATGAGAGTGGTAATGAGAGAGTGAAATCCTTTCTTACTGAGACATTGTTATCTTCTGTATTTGCTGATAAACATAAAGAGGATTTAGATTCCTTTGATTTCTACTATGTTTGTTTTGAACATCTGCTACAGTTTAAGGCAATATAGACTGTGAAGTAGCCATTCATAATGAAATAATTAACTTACCTCAAAGGTACTGCCAGTCTTGTCAAACTCTGGAGGTATAAACGATCCCTCAGGATCATCTGCAAGACAAGCATACAAAAGTATATCTAGTTAACATGTGTAATAAATGTTTTATTATATGTGGTGTTGGTAGGCCTACAGTCCCACAAAAATATGATGAAGGTGCTAAGCCAATGAAACCACTTGCAACCAGTCATCGACATAATTCAGTCTAGCAGAATTAGCACACAACAATACAACACGTTAAATGTGTAATAAATGTGTTTTTCCATGTGGTGTTGGTATCGGTCCTAATTGACAATATGGGGCTAATTATAAAACCATGTGCTAAGCCACAAAACATTAAGAACACCTGCTCTTTCCATGACAATCCAGGTGAAAGCTATGATCCCTTATTGATGTCACTTGTTTAGATGAAGGGGAGGACACAGGTTAAAGAAGGATTTTTAAACCTTGAGACAATTGAGACATGGATTGTGTATGTGTGCCATTCAGAGGGTGAATGGGCAAGACAAAATATTTAAGTGCCTTTGAACGGGGTATGGTAGTAGGTGCCAGGCGCACCGGTTTGTGTCAACAACTGCAACGCTGCTGGGTTTTTCACGCTCAACATTTTCCCGTGTGTATCAAGAATGGTCCACCACCCAAAGGCCATCCAGCCAACATGACACAACTGTGGGAAGCATTGGAGTCAACATGGGCCAGCATCCCTGTCAAACTATTTCGTCACAACCCAATATTAGGAAGGTGTTCCTAATGTTTGGTATACTCAGTGTATATTATTCATTAGCTCAGAAACAAACCCAGACTAATGAGACTGCAACTATCTCCTGATCAGAGCCTTGGTGTCACGATACAGAGCATTTTCAGTCTTAAGTATGCCATTGTGTCACGCCTCAGAGGACGCTTGTATGTTGAGTCAGGGTGTGTATTTTCCTTGCTGTGTTTGTACATGTTGTACAGTCTAGTATGGATAGATCTATGTTGGCCTGTGTGGTTCCCAATCAGAGGCAGCTGTCGCTCGTTGTCTCTGATTGGGGACCATACTTAGGCAGCCTATTGGCACTAGTGGGTTGTGGGATCTTGTTCCGTGTTAAGGTATGTTGTGTTGTGCTGCCTTGGACGTTGTGTTTGATATTTAATAAACATGTACGCATATCACGCTGCGCCTTGGTCCGTCCCGTCTGTAAGCGATCGTGACACATTGTTTGTGCTGGGTTGAAAGCAGGGATAATGCCGCCCACCATCAGCCTCCTCTTCCCACAGTTAGAGACAGTTTAGTAGTTCAGGTCTAGATTTGGAGCTTGTGAAGTTGACCATGCGGTTGGATTTTAACAGTGAGGAGGCAACAATGCAGATCTGGTTCTTGCCCAGAGTGAGACTTTTTATTAGCAAAGTGAGAATAAGACTTAGTATAGCCGACGAGACTGTACAAGTATTTACAAACAAAAATAACAAACCGGTTGTTGATCAAAGCCAAATTGAACTGAATCAGTATATCAAAGAAAACCCAGGCTCAATAACGCCTGTAAACGGCAGCATGCCGACCTTACCCTGTCTCTCTCTCTCAAACAATGAAAGGACAGGGTTTAAATAGGACTACCCATTACATTTTACATTTTTAGTCATTTAGCAGACGCTCTTATCCAGAGCGACTTACATTATCTATTTTTTTTTATTAATTTTTTATACTGGCCCCCCGTGGGAATCGAACCCACAACCCTGGCATTGCAAACGCCATGCTCTACCAACTGAGCTACATCCCTCATGCCTCTGACCAATGAGAACAAGACGTCATTTCACATCATCATCAATTATCATTCAAAAGGAATGAAATACAATACACATGTTCAGATCATACATATAATAAGCACACAATTCAATCAAAGTGCTAAACCATGTTTAATGCATAAATAGAACATAGGGCTTCAAACATGTTTTTCCCCCCTGGAATTAGCAACTTCTGCATTACCCATTCTCCTGAATAAACTATGCACTCTTGAATGGCCAGATATCCTTCTGTAATAAACAAGTAATACAAGGTAATCATTTACATTTCTGACAAGCTACCTTCACATTTTAATTGTTACACATTATCACAATGTAGTAGTAACGTTTGCTCATCAATTGCATGAACAGAAAGAGTTAGGCTATATTCACTGGAGACGCACAGCAAAAGCTTTCAGCGCCGAACCATTTGTCTGCGTTCAACCACCCGAGCCACTGCCTGTTTACCCCGCTATCATCCAGAAAGCGAGGTCAGTACAGGTGCATCAAAGCTGGCACCGAGAGAATGAAAAACAGCTTCTATCTCAAGGCCATCAGATTGTTAAATAGCCATCACTAGCACATTAGAGGCTGCTGCTGCCTATTGAAATCACTGGCCACTTTAATAATGTTTACATATCTTGCATTACTTATCTCATATGTATATACTGTATTCTATAATATTCTACTGTATCTTAGTCCATATTGCTCTGTCATTGCTTGTCCATATATGTATATATTCTTAATTCCATTCCAGATTTGTGTGTATTGGGTATATGTTGTGAAATTGTTAGATATTAATTGTTAGATATTACTGCACTGTCGGAGCTAATAGCATAAGTATTTCGCTACACCCGCAATAACATCTGCTAAACACGTGTATGTGACAAATACAATTTGATTTGATTTGATTTGAACTTTAAACATGTTCCTTTCCTTTCACAGGTGATCAACAATCAAGACATCGGATTACATGACTACCCCACATTATTACAATAAATAAATGTACTTCTCATAATAACTTGTTTTCTATCATTGTGTGTATACAGTACATGATCAGGCAAGACTTTAGACTATGTGATGGAGGACATAGGCCAATCATCACAGTGCCGTCTCTGACTACTGGAGTTATGACTGAGGTGCTCCCAACCCAGGTGGAGGCCACACCAGAGACACTACAGAAGGTTAGAATGAACGGCCAAGGAGAAGTGAGCACTACTGGGTAGAGACAAAGACAGAGGGAGGAGAAGAGAGGAGAGGTCAGGAGGGAATTGTGGAGAGAAAGAAAGCGGGGAAAAGGATGAGAAAGGGAGATGGTAAGAGAGAGGAAGGAAAGCAATGGAAATATGAGTGGATTGTACCACTGCAAAACAAGCAATCCATCAGAAAAGAGGGAAAAACCTGTATAAAGTGCTGTTAATTATTTGGTTATACAAAATGTTTTATTGAATAATGGCAATTGCAAATTCACTCATTCTGAATACAGCACATTACTCTATTCCAGGAGGTTCAACAGCTATAGGCTAAGGCCAGATCATAAGTTAGCTGGCTCTATGATATAACAAGAGAGGCAAACACATACATACTGTAGGAAGGAGACTACAGTGAACTCAATGAGTAAAGGAATGTGCTCACTGCTAACACTATGATTGAGAAAAACAACCTACATTAAGGCTCTCATATTCTCTCAGATGGGCCTGGAGAGAGCTTATATTAAAATGTATGACAATGTGTAATGCCATTTTCTACCAATGAATGGATACTGCCCCATGGAGTAATAACATTGCTGCATACTGATCATTAATTGATCACTTAAGGTCACTCTGAATGCTCAATTCCTAAGGGGACACGTGATGATGTCCCACACGCAACAGTATTCAATAAACAGCTAAATTAAACCTAATCAATGCAGGGGAGAAAAGTGGTATTGGGGTATAAGTGCTGGTTAGTATTCCAACATGTGCACAACAAGCGACATCCTATTGTGTCTTAAACAAATTAACACAATTAGTGATCAGCAATAGATTATAATGTGAATCCAGGGTGAGTAAAAGGCACTGATAGCCAGCTGACCGCCAGAATATCGGTTACCAGGGCAACAATCCCCTTGGCAACGCAGACACTGTTGATCTCGTCAATGCTTATCAATTACTGATGTTGCCAGAAAGAAAATGGAAGGCTATCCTTTAATGGTTATGTGTGTGCGTGTGTATGTGTGTGAGCGTCCGGTGTGCATGTATGTCTGTGCATCTATGCATACATGTGTGTGTGCTTGCGTGCCTGCCTGCCTGTGTACGTTTGTGTGGAAGGGACAACAGGGGTGAGTGTGACAGGCGTTGACGTAACCTTGTTTGGTAAAAGACAGATGATTGCGGTTCCCTGAGAGGAGGAGAAGCTAGTCTGTAGGCAGAGAGTATTTCTCAGTAAGTCTGAGGGACAAGGTGAGACAGAGGCATAGTATCCTGAACATGAAGGATCTAACTGTTTCACCAACCCTCTCCATCCAAATGAGACGAGGAGCTGCAGACGACTGCAAAATCACATCACACAGATGTAATCACACAAAGGCTCAACATCTTTTAATTAAGAGACATCCTTCTTTTGCAAATGCAGCCGTTTTGCATTTTAATTATTTTGGGAACAGGTGGAACTTTCTAGTTTGAAACATATACTGCTGACCAAAAGAGAATATGATGGGGTTTGTAAACAAACTTTTCATGGGGGAGGAGAATCTGAGGCCCTATTCATTAAGCGTCTCAGAGTAGGAGTGCTGATCTAAGATCAGTTTGACCTTTTAAGTCATAATAAATAGAAGGGGGGACCTGAATACGGACCCTGATCTTAATGACCCTTTGACTTCCCATAGGGAGGACAGATTGAACTGTGACCTCAGGATACCATGGTGGATCAGATCAGACCGATTGATCAGTGGAGAGAGTGCTGCCTCAGTCTTTTACAATAGCAGACAGCACTGACTAACAGATTAACTGTATGAGACGAAACACCATAGAATCCAATGAATAACTGATAGACCTAGGTTGTGTTCAATATGCACAAAATGGAAGAAAATGAACTGAAACAGGAAGGGACTACTTAGACTACTTGCAAAAAACGATAACTATTTTTTGTTTCTTGTTGCAAAACTGTTTTAAGCGTTTTTGTGTGCCCTAATGAACATGACCCTGAATGGACAGGGAGACTGGATCATCACTGAGGTAGAGAGGGCTGTGTTGGGCTGTGTTGACTCACCACTGAGCTGCTCCATAAAGCACACATTGCCATGGGCGTTGAAGGCCAGGGTGTCGGGTGTGATGCACAGGGTGTGGAAGAGGGACGATGGGGCGATACTCTGCAGGGCCAAGACACACTCCACACACACCGCCCACACCTCCTGCTCCATCAGACAGGTGTCCCGCAACAACAGGATATCTGCCAGGGACACATTCTCCTGTGGACACACGCACGCAGGCACGCACGCATGCACACACACAGAGACATATGCACACACACACAACAGTAACACACATGCACACACACGCACAATTAATACGGTATGTGTCATGCAGCAATACACACACTTACACCCACACCCTCGTATGTCATGCTGCAAACTGTGCAAAGCCAAGTGGGCACATTTTGTCTTATGAAGAAGCCTTATTGCATCAATGAATATGAAACATCTCATGGCATGTTAGACATTTTCAGTGCCGGATTTGTGTGTGAAGAAAACAGGATATTTTGTTGGCTTTGCACAAGAGCACAAAAGCCAGTCTTTGATGGCACTGAGATAGAGAGACTCCATTGTGATGAGGTGTCCAATACTCTGCATTTCCATTACATGCATGTGACTGAACAGTGTAACAGACCACTGTCTTTTCACAAAAGTCTCATGGGACATGGGCATTCAGTTGTTGTAAAAAAAAAAAAAAAAGTGCTATCTAGAACCTAAAAGGGTTATTCAGCTGTCCCCATAGAAGAACCCTTTGAATAACCATTTTTTGTTTCAGGTAGAACTTTTTTGGTTCCAGGTAGAACCCTTTTGGGTTCCATGTAGAACCCTTTCCACAGTGTGTTTTACATGGAACCCAAAAGGGTTCTACCTGGAACCAAAAAGGGTTATCCTATGGGACAGCCGAATAACCCTTTTTTTTAAACCCTTTTTTCTAACATTTAAAAAGATGGAACTGGGGTGAAGACAGAATATTCCTCTTTAAAGTACCTCTTCAATTGATCTGAGAGAGATCTAAAAGATGGTTGTCTGTTCATTACCAAATATTTGTTGCGGAAGGTGAATAAAGCGCACCTACAATGCTGTAGAATATGGCAAAATAATAGGGCAGAAAACTGTCACTTTAAGCAACAGCATAAGCCCATAAATAGACTGTTTCCCTTGAGAACAGTGCAGAGAAACATTGAATCTCTCCCTCTCTCCTCATGTTAAATGTGCAGGCCTACATAACTTTCCCTCTCACTCCAAGAGCTCTAAATGAGACCAAATCTGCACTGGTGGAACTCCTCAAAGGTTTAGAGAAGGAGCGAGAATAAGAGGGACAGAAAAGAAGAGTGAAGTAGTGAGTGATTATTTTCTGGTTGGGCTACTAAGTGGGTGACTAAGTAATCGAGGGACATCATGGTGAGTTGTTAGTGGTTGAATTAATCCCATAGTATTCAAAGGTCAAATGTGATTACGTTTACACTTGTTCCCTTGTGTGTAGGCTACAGCTGAATGCATCTGGCAGGCTGACCCCACAGATACCGCCCTCCACTCAAGATTACCCTGCAGTGTCTCTCCGGAGTCCCCACACTTGCAAAGGCCCCTGCAGCTCAAAACTTCCAGAGTGAATAACTGTGAATAACTGTACTGCACTGAATCATATTGCCCACTGTACATTGTTTAACATTGGAACTATAATTACTTACAATATGAGTGAAATTGTTTTCCTTTAAAAAAATGCTAATTAAGTATGTTAAAAAGCAGCTTTTCTGTGTTGGAATGGTGTGGGCGTACCCCAACAACAGAATGGTGTGGACATATTTTGGTCATTAAAAATATTTGTGCAAGTAGACTGCTGATTGGCCAGCTCATCCTCCTCTAGACCGCTGATTGGCCAGCTCATTCTCCTCAGGGAGATGACATCATGTTCTATGAGGAAATAGCAAGCATTTTTTAAACGGTCTGTTTGAGATACAAGTTAGAGGTGGGTTTTTTATGCTTTGGCCACAAATACGAGCATAGGATGAGTCAACAACATTATTTGGATATGAGTTAACAGAATATTAACTTTTAAAAGTTAGATTTTCACTGGGCAGTTACTTTAAAACTCAAACTGGGAGATGAAAACAGGACAGGGTAGTATTTTAATGTCTAATGAATGTCCAGATTATCAACATAAAGCCAAGAGGGGACACAGCAGGGGTCATTACCTATGTCCCACAGTATAATTATGGTCCTTGATCACCATGAGAGTTATAAGGAAAGATCACAGACATCAATCTGATCTTGGTGTCCTGAGACAGAGAGCATGTTGTTGATTCAATTAGACCTTATAAAACAACATGTCTTCTTCAATCATTCAATCACTCGGTCAAGAGCATATAGGTTAGCCTATCTATTGGGACTGCACAAGTAACATAGCCCAGGTGCATATATGTCACAGCCAATAAAACCAGTCCCTTGGGGACCCTCAGTACACAATATTGTTGGTAGCCTACATTATTCTGGCTTAGTTCATACATGCCAATGAGAGAACAATCATATTTATGATGATAATTATGTAAACATAAATATTCACTCTCACCTCATCTTCAAGGAGTGGAGGTAGATGCTCAAATTCATAGTATTCCTCCTCTTCTTCCTCCACTTCCCCTGAGAATTCGACTGCATCAGTTCCAGATGTCCCCATTGTATTTAGTTTTAAACAAGACTATGATATTTGTAGAATTGAGTGAGTGCAGTTTCACACCCATAGCCTTTAGCCTACTGTAGAATAAAGCTTTCCCTCTCCCTTGGTGTCCTGGCAACACTGTATCGAGTCAGGAAAGATTACATGCCTGAATACGTGTTCCAAACACGAACAGTGCGGGCTACTTTTTAGAATGTTCCCAGTCCTTCCACTACCACCAGCAAGCAACATGATGCGTCATTCCACAAAACGGTTGGTGTCACTGCAGTTATTTTCATTCCAAAACACGCGAAAGACAGCGTTTGCATGTGTACTGCCAATAATCAATGGCAACAGGGGAGTTTGCGGACTGTATGCTGTCATGGCAACGACTGCCACACCTCCACAAAAATAACCGACATTGCGATAATGAACTGCAGTTCCGAAGTCCTCCGAGTAAGGGCTACGAGGCTACGCTATGTACTACAATTTGTTTTGAGGAGTGGTAGCCTACTGACAAGATCCCATCCACGTACGGCGCCTCGATATCCATCAAAGCAATACTGGAATAGCGTGCCATAAGTCATTTAGAACGGGGGTAGCCTTCGCTGCAAAGTTTGTCCTACATTTTTTGCACTCATTCTCATGAGTGACATTAATTGCAAGCTGCGTTGTTAAGGTGTTACTCATGTATTACCAAGGTTCAAAATCACACCTGCTTGCACTGGTTACTCATATGCTGCACTGGTATTCTTTAACATTTAATTGACGAATTATAGGCTACGTCAATATAAATAAATATAATAGGCCTAAGTGAAATATTGAGATACATGCACCACTGTAAACCCTAGTGTGCTGTAATTACTCAACTTTTGAGGAAACCCATTGCACTTAATAGATCTGAGTACAGTTACTTAAAGTGATGTAGTCATTACTCAAACCGATAGAGTCACTGCGGGGGTCCAGATTTGAGTTGTATAAGCTTGAACATTTTGAGTAATGCCCCCAGTAAGCCACACCTCCAATATAATTGTGCCTTGCCATTTCCAGTGAATTGAAGAACTACCACCCTTGACTGTATTTTCAGTAGTGGCCTTAACCAAGTGAGGCCCTAGGCATATGTTATCATTATAATTAAACTCTTTGTAACAATACATTACATTTCTCATTAGGCCTTATTTTGAGGCCTAGCTTTACACTAATACAGTGACCTGAAACTCACGGTTTGCAGGCCTGTAAGTAATTTTCCCAAAATTCCCAGATTTTCAGAAAATCCTGGTTCCAAATCAAATCAAATGTTCAAATCATTCAGACCCCTTGACTTTTTCCACATTTTGTTACGTTACAGCCTTATTCTACAATGGATAAAATAAAACATTTTCCTCATCAATCTACACACAATACCCCATAACAACAAAGTGAAAACAGGTTTTTAGAAATTTTAGCAAATGTATAAAAAAAAAATAATAAAAAAAATACCTTATTTACATAAGTATTCAGACCCTATGTTATGACACTCGAGATTGAGCTCAGGTACATCCTGTTTCCATTGATCATCCTTGAGATGTTTCTACAACTTGATTGGAGTCCACCTGTGGTAAATTCAATTGATTGGACATGATTTGGAAAGGCACACCTGTCTATATAAGGTCCCACAGTTGACAGTGCATGTCAGAGCAAAAACCAAGCCATGAGGTCAAAGGAATTGTCCGTAGAGCTCCGAGACAGGATTGTGTAGAGGCACAGATCTGGGGAAGGGTACCCAAACATTTCTGCAGCATTGAAGGTCCCCAAGAATACAGTGGCCTTCATCATTCCTAAATGGAAGAAGTTTGTAACCACCAAAACTCTTCCTAAAGCTGGCCGCCCGGCCAAACTGAGCAATCGGGGGAGAAGGGCCTTGGTCAGGGAGGTGACCAAGAACCCGATGGTCACTCTGACAGAGCTCCAGAGTTCCTCTGAAGAGATGGGAGAACCTTCCAGATGGACAACCATCTCTGCAGCACTCATCCAATCAGGCCTATATGGTAGAGTGGGAAGACGGAAGACACTCTTCAGTAAAAGGCACATGACAGCCCGCTTGGAGTTTGCCAAAAAGCACCTAAAGATTCTCTGGTCTGATGAAACTAAGATTGACCTCTTTGGCCTGAATGCCAAGCGTCACGTCTGGAGGAAACCTGGCACCATCCCTATGGTGAAGCATGGTGGTGGCAGCTTCATGCTGTGGGGATGTTTTTCAGCAGCAAGGACTGGGAGACTAGTCAGGATCGAGGGAAAGATGAAAGGAGCAAAGTACAGAGAGATCTTTGATGAAAACCTGCCACAGAACGCTCAGGACCTCAGACTGGGGCAAAGGTTCACCTTCCAACAGAACAATGACCATAAGCACATATCCAAGACAACGCAGGAATGGCTTCGGGACAAGTCTCTGAATGTCCTTCAGTGGCCCAGCCAGAGTCTGGACTTGAACCCAATCTAACATCTCTGGAGAGACCTGGAAATAACCGTGCAGCAATGCATCCAACCTGACATAGCTTGAGAGGATCTGCAGAGAAGAATGGGAGAAACTCCCCAAATACAGGTGTGCCAAACTTGTAGCATCATAGCCAAGAAGACTTGAGGCTGTAATCGCTGCCAAAGGTGCTTCAACAAAGTACTGAGTAAAGGGTCTGAATACTTATGTAAATGTTATATTTCCATTTTTATTTGTAATACATTTGCAAAAATTTCTAAAAACCTGTTTTTGCTTTGTCATTATGGAGTATTGTGTGTAGATTGATGAGGGGAAAAAAACTGTTCATCCATTTAAGAATAAGGCTGTAACCTAACAAAATGTGGAAAAGGTCAAGGGATCTGAATACTTTCCGAATGCACTGTGTAAATACACTACCGTTCAAAAGTTTGGGGTCACTTAGAAATGTCCTTGTTTTCAAAAGAAAATCATTTTTTTTGTCCATTAAAATAACATCAAATTGATCAGAAATACATTGTAGACATTGTTAATGTTGTAAATGGCTATTGTAGCTGGAAATGGCTGATTTTAATGGAATATCTACATAGGCGTACAGAGGCCCATTATCAGCAACCATCAGTCCTGTGTTCCAATGGCACGTTGTGTTTGCTAATCCAAGTTTATCATTTTAAAAGACTAATTGATCATTAGAAAAACCTTTTGCAATTATGTTAGCACAGCTGAAAACTGTTGTGCTGATTAAAGAAGCAATAAAACTGCCCTTCTTGAGACTAATTGAGTATCTGGAGCATCAGCAATTGTGGGTTCGATTACAGGCTCAAAATGGCCAGAAACAAATAACTTTCTCCTGAAACTCATCAGCCTATTCTTGTTCTGAGAAATGAAGGCTATTCTATGTGAGAAGTTGCCAAGAAACTGAAGATCTCGTGCAACGCTGTGTACTACTCCCTTCACAGAACAGCGCAAACTGGCTCTAACCAGAATAGAAAGAGGAGTGGGAGGCCCCGGTGCACAACTGAGCAAGAGGACAAATACATTAGTGTCTAGTTTGAGAAACAGGTGCCTCACAGGTCCTCAACTGGCAGCTTCATTAAATAGTACCCACAAAACACCAGTCTCAACGTCAACAGTGAAGAGGCGACTCCGGGATGCTGACCTTCTAGGCAGAGTTGCAAAGAAAAAGCCATATCTCAGACTGCCCATCTTAATCTTTTCTTTTTATAGGCCAGTCTGAGATATGGCTTTTTCTTTGCAACTCTGCCTATTTGTCCTCATGTTTCATGAGCTGAAATAAAAGATACCAGAAATTTTCCAAACGCACAAAAAGCTTATTTCTCTCAAATTTTGTGCACACATTTGTTTATATCCCTGTTAGTGAACATTTCTCCTTTGCCAATATAATCCAGCCATCTGACAGGTGTGGCATATCAAGAAGCTGATTAAACAGCAGGATCATTACACAGGTGCGCCTTGTGCTGGGGACAATAAAAGGCCACTCTAAACTGTGCAATTTTGTCACACAACACAATGCCACTGATGTCTCAAGTTTTGAGGGAGCATGCAATTGGCATGCTGACTGCAGGAATGTCCACCAGAGCTGCTGCCAGAGAATTGAGTTTTCATTTCTCTACCATAAGACGCCTCCAATGTCATTTTAGAGACTGTGGCAGTACAGCCAACCGGCCTCACAACCGCAGACCATGTATGGCATCATGTGGATGAGTGGTTTGCTGATGTCAACGTTGTGAATAGAGTGCCCTATGTTGGCGGAGGGGTTATGGTATGTTCAGGCATAAGCTACGGACAATGAACACAATTACATTTTATTGATGGCAATTTGAATGCACAGAGATACCTTGACAAGATCCTGAGGCCCATTGTCATGCCATTCATCTGCCGCCATCACCTCATGTTTCAGCATGATAATGCACGGCCCTATACACAAGGATCTATACACAATTCATGGAAGCTGAAAATGTCCCTGTTCTTCCATGGCCTGCATACTCACCAGACATGTCACCCATTGAGCGTGTTTGGGATGCTCTGGATTGACGTGTACGACAGCGTGTTCCAGTTCCCGCCAATATCCAGCAACTTCACACAACCATTGAAGAGGAGTGGGACAACATTCCACAGGCCACAATCACCAGCCTGATCAACTCTATGCGAAGGAGATGTGTTGTGCTGCATGAGGCAAAAGGTGGTCACACCAGATATTGACTGGTGTTCTGATCCACTACCCTACTTTTTTTTAAAGGTATCTGTAACCAACAGATGCATATCTATATTCCCAGTTTATGTGAAATCCATAGATTAGGGCCTAATGAATTTATTGAAGTTTACAGATTTCCTTATAAATCAAATCAAATCAAAAATAAATTGCCACATGTGCCGAATACAACAGGTGCAGATATTACAGTGAAATGCTTACTTACAAGCCCTTAACCAACAATGCATTTTTTAGGGCGTGACAGTACCCCCCCCCCCAAAGGTGCGGACTCCGACCGCACAACCTTTACTTAACAGGGTAGGGGCCGGGTGGGCATTC